AAAAAAATTACCTAATCATTAAAGATAATAAGTTTGAATAAATAATTAAAAAATAATTAATTAAAAGAGTAAAAATAAAGTGAAAATAGAAATTAAAAAGAAAAAAAAGAAAATCAGTTCTCCATAAGTAAAACCAAAAAAATGCAAAATTTTCTCTCGATCAGTCATAAAATGCAGAGACCACGTGACGTAAAAAATAACTACCCATGGCACTGTTCACAGAGATGCACATACTAGAACTACATGTAGCTTACAGCCTACAATATACAAACTGATGCCAAAGATTGCTTCAAGGTAAATAAACCAGAAGTGTGATTTATTATTGACAGACCTCAAGCACTGTGGGTTCTAAGTGGAAAAGGGGATGTAAATACGATAAGTACTTGGCGAGCAAACCCAAAGTGCGACCGCACTTAAAATCTGTCAGCACAAGCATTTTCTAATGCCACCCAATTTTTGCGATTTTTGATAGATTGCGATAAAAGTAATTTATTGACTGCAATGATTGAGATTAGATTTTTTGATAGATTCAGACATTAACGTTTTTTTTTTTACATTTAACTTCAGACATAAAGTTGATTTCTTTTTAGTGGCTTATTAGATGGTCTCCACNTATAAAAAGTAATTGGAAAAAAATCTTACCATCTCCAGAGACAACCGAGGAGTAAGTCCTTTTTTGTCCTTTTTGTTGTTTAGAATAATCCATCAGTACAAGGTTCATAGTCAAAGGCATATATAATTAACGCGAAAAGGTGTCGAGTAACTGACGATCTCTCAATTTTAACTGGAGACGGCTGGTAGTTGCCTTGATAGCTCCCAATGTGTGGTTAATAATTATTTAAGGTAGAGTATTAATTTGTAATAGTTCGGAGATTTTTACAATTGAACTATTAAACTAATTGGAAATATTGCATTTGTTTAATCTTCTGCGATGGTTCCGGCTGGAAAAGCGTGCCGGCTTAATGGTCATTGCAACCTAGACATCCTATAGGTGTGTAAATGTGTGGAGGCGAATTTAAAACGGGGAGTAACCATGCATGTGATGGACTAGCATCCCATCCAGGGAAAAAGTAACAGAGATTACAATACGATTCGCTGCTGAAGATCCTTGTATTCGGCGGTGAATATCTCGCCAAAACTTCCCTGTCCGATCCTATCTTTCACCCTAACTTTGCTAAGATCAAAAACCGGTACTCCACTAGCGCTTATAGCATTGCGATTTCGAAAAACGGGAATTTTAAACTGTTGAGACATGTTCTGAACCCGAAGTATTACAAAACTGTCATGGATGTGCAAGCTGGTCGTCTTCCCTGAATTTCCCGCCTAATTCACAATCTGCACTATTGTTTGTGTCGCGTGATGGTGACACAATGATACTTTAGTTATAGCTTCCTAAGTAAATGGGTAGCCCGATTCTCAGACGGGCCAGGGTCACTCGTGTCACGCATTCATGACCTTCCCTTCGGGGAAGGTCATTTTCATGATGTCAAGGTCATGTGCAGGGTCAGGTTCATGACGTCAGAGCACCCTTGGTATACAAATAGCCAATGACAACGCACGTTAGAAATGAAACGTGTAAAGTGAAAAATGATTTTCACGCAGGTTTTTCCGGGAGATGACAAAACGTGGAGCCCTACTCCATGGAGTACCCTATGGAGTAGCTGGATGGAGAACCCCTAAAAATCATGTGTTAGTCAAATAAAATACTTTATGAACATGGTNAGAAGTGTGGCGCCCCATCTAGTAACACATGGCCTCATGGGTTTCTTAAGTGTGCGAAACGATGAGGATACAAGCTTACATTTGTTGGTTGAGACTTAAAAAGGTAATCCCTATCTTTAAACTGAGCTTCTCTTCACCTATCTATTTGTAGCGCAATAAAATTGAGGTATGGAAACAAACCAAAAAAAAAAAACAGTGATGGGTCGGCAAATAAATCCGACTGGGGTTGTTGATCTGGGAAATGTAGTAAGCTAAAATATTTTACCTCGTGCAGAAATCGAAACAGTGGGTTTTTTTCATCACACATGGAGTTGTTTGTCTTCTCGTCAAAGGACTTATTACACAGCGGTAAAACCAAAATGGAGGAACCAGTAAGACTGAGAGCCCTAGTCCCCTGTCCCCCCCAAAAACTGGATTGTATCGAACTGTGACATTCGGTGAGCTGGTAAGCTCAATATATTTTAGGATATGTACATCTAAACGATTCCCTATGTTCATAAAATATTTTATTTGACCAATACGTGACTTTTAGGGGTACTCCATTAAGGTACTCTATAGGGTACTCCATGGAGTAGGGCTCCGCGTTTTGTCATCTCCCGGTTTTTCCTCGGTCAGATTTTGGCTTTATCACACACTTGGGTCGTTCAACTACCATGGGATATTTTGATCAAGAGGAGGAAATACACTTGCCTGTGAACAGAGACGGATGTCCGGCTTTTGTTTCACGGCGGCGTGAAACAAAAGCCGGACATCCGTCTGTGGTCGCAGGCAAAAAATAAATGCATTGTAAGGTTTCCAACACACAGAGTGACTCGCGTCAACAAAGCTAGTTAAGTCAGTAAAATGTTAGAACCAATGTTGAAATTTCTGGCGTACTTGTATTTTATTTTCGTTACTCATTTCTTTATAAAGCTTCAAACCTTACCTCTTGCGTGATACGAGAGTCATTCAACTTAAGAACGTAGACGGTGGATCTATCGAGCGATCGATCGGCCGCAGCAATGGTTTTCGGCATGGGATAAATTTCTATTATTAAACCTCTTTGACCTGTGCTCTACTCGTGAACCGGTCGAAGCTCTCTTAAGCGGACATCCTCAAGGAGAGAAAAAAGTGTCCGTAAAAAGTCTCCGCTCACAAGAATGGGAAAATACAGAGTTTGTATGGGAGTTTAATAAGACGGGGTTTTGACTAGGTGGTACCGTGGCCGGTAAGGACAAATTACGTACGTTGTTTACACAAAACATATGCAAACTTAATAATTTGCGGACAAACTTAACAAAAAGCCAGCAAACTTAATAAAATGCACGCAAATTGTAAAAGCGCTAACAAACTTAGTAATGGACATGCAAACGTACCAGTTTCCTCGCGCGGGGAACAGGTCACTCTTGCGTGACGCGCGCGAGAGAAACGTGCGAAAGAAGCGCGAGATCAAAAGATGAAAATTCAAAACAAAGATGGCGGCGCGTGGAATTTTTTCTACTTTTGTGAGAAGTTTACCTAAGAGCTTGTATTTGATGTGTTGAGCGGCCACTGTGAATGCAGGAGATAGAAACTAAGATAACGAAGACGATTTTCGGAGAAGTAAAGGTTGCTTCACTTCACATTTAAAAGAAATATTCAACCGATATGAAATCTTGCGACGGCGAAAAAAGAAGAACTCAAGTGAAGGATAATCTACCTGAAGTGGAAGAAGACTTTGAAACTTCAAGGAAAATAATATGATATAGCCAGAAGTCATGTGTAGGATTTTTAAGATGAGCTCGGGAGGCTGTCTTTGACGGCTGTTTAATGATTTTCTTAGCAGTAAACGTCTGTAAACATCAGATCGTAGGTGCTCGCGCGAGCACACGCAATTGTCAGCGGTAGCTAAAACAGATCATGAGCAAATGTCGATCTTATAGAATCCAGATTTTTAAATGCGCGAGAACGCGCGTGGAAATTGCTAAACTCACGAAAGCTATTGCATGAAAACAAGTCCGGTGACCCCTTCTTTTTATTGTTCCAATATGATAATAACGTCGAAAGGAATCATCAGAAAAAAAA